TATCTAAGAAGTTTGTTTAAAAATTGCTCTACCTCCATTATGTACAACTATAATACACCAATTAAAAAAAATGGAGGGTTAGGGTTATAGCTCAGTTGGTAGCATGCTTGCCTCGTATGCATAAGGCCATGGGTTTAATTCCCAGCACCACATAAAAAAGCAGGGAGATAAACAGAACAAACCCCGTCCCCCAAATTGCTCTAGAAGTTCTGTTTTGGTAATATTGATTCATGGGCACACCAACTACATAAATAAAAAAAGAAAGTACAGTCCCATCAATTTAAAAGATATTTTCCAATATTATTTCAGCTAATCGGCTTAATAATTATAAATCTATAGTATTTCTGGCTTAAATATAATTATGACTCAATTCAGTTATTAGAAAACAACTTATAATCTTTCAGTGACAGGAACTCTCCTTTATATTAATTTTACTTAATATTTCAGTGAATGGGGCTGGGGATGTGGCTCAAGCGGTAGCGTGCTTGCCTGGCATGCATGCGGCCCAGGTTCGATCCTCAGCACCACATACAAAACAAAGATGTTGTATCCGCCGATAACTAAAAAATAAATATTAAAATTCTCTCTCTCTGGGCTGGGGATGTGGCTCAAGCGGTAGCGCGCTCGCCTGGCATGCGTGCGGCCCGGGTTCGATCCTCAGCACCACATACAAAACAGAGATGTTGTGTCCGCTGATAACTAAAAAAAAATAAATATTAAAAAAATTAAAAAAAAAAAAAATTCTCTCTCTCTCTCTCCTCTCTCTCTCTTTAAAAAAAAAAAAAAAAAGACTTAAGACTATCAACAGTAATTCATTACTATTGTCACACTGGTGGTGTTTGGATTTAAAAAAAAAAATATTTCAGTGAATGCATATTATTATTAATGTACAATAGCATAATTAGGATTATAGGTATGCACCACTATTCTGGCTGTTACATGAATTTTTATAACAGATGATACTCAGTATCAAATCAGAATTATCACTAGACATATTCACATGATAGGTTTTACTTTGAAATATCAATATTAAAAATTCCTAAAAACTTGCAATGAAGCATACTGTATACATTTTCAAAAAAATGATGAGAAATTTGTAAGCCAGGAAATAAATACATGGCTAGAAGTAGTGGCACACACCCCTAATTCCAGCTATGGAAGAGACTGAGGCAGGAGAATAACAAGTTCAAGCCCAGACTGGACAACTTAGCAACCTTGTCCCAAAATAAAAAATAAAAAGGTCTGGGTATAAATAGCTCAGTGGTAGAGCACCCTGGGTTCAATTCCCAGTACTCGGGCAGGCGGCAGAGGGGTGTAAAAAGACTAAGCTCTATAAACACAGTGATAGAAAACAACTTTTACTTTTCCCTACAAATTTATTTCTTTTTTTATTTTTATTATTATTTTTTTGTCTACATTTTAGGGAATTTAGTTGTTCAAATAAAATTTAGAAAACCTACCATATGCAAAACCTGATAGTTTTCAGTGTAAATATTTTTTTGTCGAGCTGAGGAGTAAATCCTGGACATTGCATATGCTAGGCAAGCAATCCACCATTGAGTTATATCCCCCACTCTGGAAAACAGTAAATTTAAAAGTTCCTAACATACTATTAAACTCTAAGTACAGGAAATATGAAGAGGGCATTAGGTTAAATTGACAAAAAGTTTGAACATATACTCCGCAAGGCTATGGGATATGGGAACTCTCATACAATGCTAATGAGGACATCAAATGTTAACTCCTATGAACAAAAAAAAATTGGCAACAGCTATCAAAACTACATGTGAAGGGCTGGGGATGTAAGTTAGTTGTTAGAGTGCTTGCCTTGCATTCACAAGGCTCTGAGTTCAATCCCCAGCACGGCCAAAAAAAACTGCATGTGACTTTACCCTCTGAAATATTAACTGCAATTCTAGGAATCTACCCCATAAATACATCACATGGATCTATATATATATATATATATATATATATATATATGTACAAGTCTTTATTAAAGCCCTGTATTTAATAGCAAAAAAAAGTCTGGGGAATATTTCTTTTTATTAATATGGGACTAACTACCTATAGTAGTATTAGTATTATAGCAATAAAAGAAATGATAAAAGATCTTTGTTACTGTGAACTACAGAATATACTATTATGGAAAAGTATCAAGGAGCCAAACCCAAGGGGATTGTTCTCCAAAGGTAATATATGTTTATATTTAAAATAATATTGATGGTAGATAAAAATAATAATAGAAGGTTAAATCATGTAATTTTTAAAACAGATTTACTATAGAAAACAGAAAAGGATATAGGGAATTAAGACAAAGCTACACATCTTGGAATATAATTAATATAATTTCTTTTGTAAATGTGACACTGGAACCATGTAAAATTTTTTACACAATTATAAAATAAATGAATATCAAAATAAAAAGCAATTATTTAAAAATAATAAACAAAACTTTCTATTGACAGAATTAAAACCAATAATAAATAACTTATTTCAAATGACTTAAAAATAGAAATTTAACCATATACTTCCAGTTGGATACACCTGGTATGCCAGCAAATACAAAATAAAATTATTCTTAAGTCGTTCTTTTAGTAATTATGTTGCTATTATTAATGTGAAAATATTTTATATTTCTAATGGGACAAGGCAAATAAGTAAATCAACATCATTAGGAATCAAAACACTAATCAAAAAATGCATAAAATAAAAATGACTGATAAATTTGATGATACAAGAAAATACATTTTCTCCAAAGCAGTAACTGCTATTAAGCAAAGACAAACAAAAGTGTGGCAGAGAAACTGGTTAAAATACAGCTATATGCTGCATAATAACATTCTCGTCAATGATAGATTGCATATATGGTGGTGTTCTCTTAAGATTATAAAAGAGTTAAAAAATTCCCTATCTTTTAATAATAGCACAGCTGAGGTAATGTTTATGATGATAATGATGTAAATAAACCAACTACACTGACAGTTGAGGTGAAAGCATAGCATATACAATTATGTACAGTATACAATGCTTCACAATAAACAACTGTTATTGGTTTATATGTTTACTATATTTTTTATCATTACTTTACAGTGCACTCCTAAAGTTTACTGTATACTCTGTTACACTGGCAGTAATCTCATACATCTCCTGTTTACTGTGTCTCTTGACAGCATTGAGGCCAAACTGATTCCTATACCACCTAGGTTTATGTTTAAGCATGCTCCATAATGTTCACATGAATAAACTGCTTAATGACTGCAGTTCTCAGAATGTGTCATTAAGCAAGGTCTGAATATATTAAAAACTGATATCACATCAATAGATGAATTTCTCCAAAACACTGTATTTCATGAAACCTAAGAAACCACTGTAAAATGCACCATTATTGTATGTAGTATTCTGAAAAAAAAAAAAATTATTAAACTAGCCCATGCTGCTAAAGATGCCTTAAATTTGAGAGAAGCTGAAATATGGAAATAATATCTTAGTCTCTATAAACAAAATTCTTTTTTTTTAATTTTTAGTTGTAGATGAACACAATGACTTTATTTTGTTGATTAATTTTTATGTGGTGCTAAGGATTGAACCCAGTGCCTCACTCATGCTAGGCAAGTGCTCTACCACTGAGCCCCAGCCCTAGCCCCCAAAATTCTTAATAATATTCTAAAGACCAAATTAAAAAAAAGGCAAAGGATATTAACTGACAATTACCTAATAAAGAAATAAAAATGGATTACTTAAATGAAAAAGTGTTCAACTTCTTTCACAATAAAAGAAATGCAAATTAAGATGCTATTTTCTATTGGCAAAGATTAAAAGGTTGATAACATTGTGAGAGAAGTATGGGGAAACAGATTCTTTTAGACACTGCCACCTAAGTGTAATGAGGTATGTCAAAATTAGAAATAAACCTGTCCTGAGCTGGGATGTAGCTCAATGGCAGAGCACTTACTAAAAGCAAGTCCTTGGATCAATCCCCAGCAGCATATAACAAAATGAAACAAAAGAAGAAAGAAAGAAAGAAAAAAAGCCGGGTGGGGGAAGAACACAACACCACACCCACACCCACACCCACACCCACACACATTACACACCTGCTCTGATAACAACAGCTCTACTTACAAGAGCTGTATCCTACAGATGTGCTTGCATGTACGTAAAATAATCCATATAGAAGGCTAATTTACTCAACATTATCTTAAGAAATAAAAAATTTAAGCTTGTAATAAGTGTGATGATATGTGTGATAATGTGTGTTAATAAGGTACCCCATACAATTGAATACTATGTACCCATGGAAGAGAATGAGGGTGCTTTTTATGAACTCTCATGGATAGTCTCCAGATTAAATTAAAGCAAGATCAGAAAAACTACGTACACTATTTCCTCATCTGTATAGAATATACAACTGTATAGAATAGAGTAGGAATATACATCTTTATAATGCGTAACATATTTTGCTATTGCTTGGATAAGTGTTCCCCAAAGGCCCATGTGTTAAAGGCTTAGACACAGCCTGTGGTGGTATTGGAAGATGGTGAACTATTTTAGAGATGGGGCCTAATGGAAGGAAGTTAGGTCATGGGGGTAAGCCCTTGAAAGATACATGGAATCCTGGCTCCCCTCTTTCTCTCTTACTGTTTTCGAGCTGTCATGAGGAAAACCGTTTCCATTACTATCCATTCCTGCTACAATGTACTATGCAGTCACAGGCCCAAAGCAACAAGGCCAAGCAATCATGGTATAAAACCTCCAAAATCATGAACCAAATAACTCTTTTTGCTTATTAACTTGATTATCTCAGATATTTTGTTATTGTAATAAAAAGCCGACTAATGCACATTTCCATAGGGATAAACAAGAAACTAAGAATACCTATTTGCCTCTGGGGTGGGAAGTGGGGATTTTGAAGTTCACCAAACAAATAAGTCTTTTAATTAAAGTAACAGCTTTTAGTATATAACCTAAAAGAAAAGAAATTTAAAAGCAACACTTGCCTTTTTTCCTTTTGAGGTTTCAGAATCCTCATCTTCTTCTACACTGAGTAGATTTGCCCGACTACACAGAAAATAAGGGGGAAAAACTTTAAGTAACAATTATAATCCAAACATTAAATTAAATTAAAAGGTTTATTCTTTATGTTCTCCTAATCCAGAGAATCATAAAACTTTTTTTGTAAATAGTAAAATATTTTAGGCTCTGCAGACTATATAGTCTCTGTAACAACAACTCATCTTTGCCACTGTAGTATGAAAATAAGTCATAAACTACATATGTAGCTGTGTACCAATAAAATTATTAACAAAATCAGGTAGCGGGCAAGATTGAAACTATAGGTCACGAATTATTGATTCCTACTATAAATGAACAGAAAATCTTGTGGTTTTTTTAAACAATGAATTTTATATATTCTCATTCATTTTTCCTTTCTCTCTTGGATTGACATTTAGGGAATAAGAACAGAGAAACAAAATGCAGAGGAAGAAACACTGTCAAAGGAAAAAAAATCAGCTAATGAAAAAAAATTAATTTCAATGCTTCTGCCACAGTGAAATATTTATGATTTCACCACTCCTGAAAATATCAACCCTCCACTCAGAATCAGTGGCCTGAGATTTTTAAAAGATCAGACCAATATGTAACATGATCAAAAAGCTGAAGCCCAAGGATCATGATGAACCAGAGTACAATTCATAAATTAATTGCACAGCATAGCACTTTAAAATATTTTTTTAAATCACATAACCATGGCAAATTTTCCAACAAAGAAAATCTAACATACATTTTTGAAGACAATTCTTCTGCTAAACTGTTTATAATTTAAAAAAAAATCCTTGTTACTTATAACTAAGAGTGAAAAAAATATTTTGCTTCATTACTTTTATATATATCCTAACTTTGGGGGAAAGGTTAATCAGGGATTGAACCCAGTGGCGCTTAACCACTGAGCCACATTCCCAGCCCTTTTTTTTTTTTTATTTTGAGACAGTGTGTCACCAAGTTGCTAAGGCTGATTTCAAACTTAAGATCCTCCTGCCTCAGCCTCCCCAGTCACTGGGATTACAGGTATGCACCACCATGCCCAGCTATATTTTATTTAACTTTTTAAATTCTAAAAACCAAAATGTTTGAAAAGCAGTATACTTTCTCTTTAGTTTAATTTCATAATTTAGTTGTATTTTCTCAAAACTATGTAAATACTAAATGTCTATAAGAAGAAAATTTAAATTGAAAATTAATCAGAAGACAAAAAAAAAAAAAAAAAGACCATAAAAAACTGACTTTAAGAAACTTACCAGTTCAAAGCTCTTCTTCAAATATAACTTGAAGGCACATAAGTGGTAATAATGAACAGAGCTATTTCCCAGATAGAAGTAAAGCACCTACAATATTTAGCCAACATAATTTTCGCATCAAGATTTCCAAAAAATATTTATAGTTTTGGTAGAACTTTGTGTGTATACTCATGTATACCAGAATTTCTTTCTTTTAACCAGTGGGACACAAGGGCAATAAAATCAAGAAATAAAAACAGCATCAAATGTGCAATACAAATCTCATGATGTGCTAAAAGTACTAATAAAACTAAAATTTAAAACAAGTATTTATTTTGGTACTGGGGATCTAATCCAGGGTTGCTTAACCATTGAGCAACAACACCAGCCCCTTTTAAAATATTTTATTTAGAGACAGGGTCTCCCTAAATTGCTTAGGGCCTCACTAAATTGCTGAGGATGGCTTCGAACTCATGATCATCTTACCTCAGCCTCCCAAGCTGCTGGGATTACAGGCATGCGCCACCACACCTGGCTTAATTTAAAATCTTTACACAGCATTCATTCCAAGTACACTAATAAAGTCCAATGGACACTCTGCTTAAACTTCTGCCTGGGTAAATATCTGTGCTTATCATTTACAATGGCACTACTTTCTCAAGTGAAATATGATCTACAATGAATGTGGTAGTGGTAGGGTCACAAAGGAAAAAGAAAGAAACTTTAGGACTTAAAGCTTTCATACAAAATTCAAGGTTCTTAATCTGGGCTCACTCATGACAAATGGTGGCTCTTCAAATTGCTGCCCAGAGTACTTATTCTTCTTTAAGAATAATTTTCTTAATCTGAAAACTTCTATTGCATGATCAGTTTTTAATCATGAGGTTACATATATTATATTCACATATTTCTATATTTCAAAAGAATTTCAAAAGACTGACAAATGTAACAGTAAAATTATTTACCAATAAAGAATTGCTTTGTCTTTCCTTAATGTTACTGAGTTAAATGTTTCAAGTAAACACCACACTCTTAAAAATCTTTCCATTGAATGTTAATTTTCTAATGAGAAATTTCATTCTTATAAAATATCTGAGGGAAAAAAGTCCTTACTCTTTATCTGTATCTCCTTCACTTTCTTCTTCATGATCAAAGCTCCAATTATTTTTAAAACCTCCATCTCTCTTAGACTCTGATCTAGCCAAAGCTGAAATAAAAACAAACTGAAATAAGTATTTATTAATAGAGCTATTCAATACAAAACAAATCTGAACATTTCCCAAGCTCTTTGATTATTCTAAAATTTCTTGTGGGTTTTTTTTTGTTGTTGTTGGTGGTGGTTTTTTGTTTCTTTATTTGTTTGTTTTTTGGTGGTGCTGGGATTGATCCAAGGGCCTTGCGCATGCAAGGCAAGCTCTCTACCAACTGAGCTAAATCCCGAGCCCTTTTTCTTCTTCTTCTTTTTTTTTTTTTTTTTAACTATTTTTTGTAAACATCTTATTTTCTCCAAAGAGAAAACACATTAAAATGTTCTTTTTTTCTAATTATTACATGTATCTGCTACACAAAGAAGCTCAAATTAGTAAGATATAATAAAAATGGGGAGAAGCACATGAATATGTACAAATGTATAAAATCAGCCCTAAGTCTCCTTTGATCACCAATTCTAGAAATTAATGACTAATTTTAAAATAGTTTGCTTGCTTTACTCATGAGAACTATATCCAAACCTCTAGCCTTTTCCTTAAATTCCATCATCTCTGCTTTTAACAGAAGAAAAATATAACAAGGTTTCCTGTGTTGGCAAGATGGTTAATTCGATGTCCAGAAAAACTTCGAATCAGAATACAAAAAATGCTCGGTATGTTTAAAAAAAAAAAAAAAAAGTAAGCATATAGCTGAACCCCCCTGAAGTCATAAATAACTAGAAAGTAGGAATCCAGAAAGATAAATAAAGTTCCAAAGCTGGCATATGTCTTGGAGCCATATGACAAAAAAAAGCCTGATGTCCTAGAGCCTATGCTTTAAGGAGATTAATTTCAGAATTTTAGCACAATGACACATAAGGTTAAAAAAAAACAGAAAACCGGGAGGATAACACTCCAACGAGGTGAGCCGGGGGGGAAAAAAGAGAAAAAAGGGATTCACTAAAGAATAATTGTAATGTTTGATCCTTGACTCTAGGGTTCTGAGTTGAACTAAAGACAAATAAATTATCTGTGTGTCTACCTCACAGTCAGTGTTATAGCATAAATGTTCAGATGTTGAAATCCCAACCCCAAGGTGATGGTATTAAAAGGAAGGCCTGGGCTGGAGTAAAGCACATGTGAGGCACTGGGTTCATCCTCAGCACCACATAAAAATAAATTAATAAAAGTATTGTGTTCATTTAAAACTAAAAATTAAAAAAAGAAAAAGAGGGAGGGCCTTTAGAAGGCATAGGGTAGAGCCATCATAAATGTGATTAATGTCCTTATTTAAAAAAAAAAAGAGAGAGACATAAGAGAGTTTGTTTGCCCTTCAACCACAGAACAGTCAGAACACATCTATAAAGAAAGCAAGCCCTTATCAGATACTGCATCTGGATACCTTAATCTGACTTTCCAACCTTCAGAACTTTATATATATAGTTTAAGTCTATAGTACTTTGTTAATAGCAGCCCAAATGAACTAAGACCATTAGGGAATTCCTAACCATAAGCACATAATTATTAAGGTTTGAGGCCAGAATTTCACAACCTACATGGCCCAGCAAAGTACATAATTAAAATAGCCTCTCCTTTGTTTCAAAAAGCAAAGGATGATAATGAAGGGAATGTCATCACCTGGAAAGCAATTAAGATACCCACACTGCCACTGCAGTTGCTCTAAGGCCTACCACCTTCAGAAATTGACCTGTGGTAAATATGGCTACCCTACTAGGCACAAGAGAAAATAAAACTGTATGTCAAGGCTAAAAGAACAAAATACTACTATTCAAATGAGGCACCTAAAAATCATATACCACAGATTAAGGCAGAGACTCCATTAAAGAACACCTAAATCTGTGAGGGCAGCTACTGAAATATCCAGTTCATGTTGAGAATCTCAACAACTAGTCAAGCAATAAAATGTTCTGGTTAAAAAAATAATTCCAAAAATAAGTAAAACCTCACATGAAAACATCATTAGCCATCATTGAAATGCAGATTAAAACCATAATGGGAAATTACTTCTCACCCATTAGGATGGCTATTATTATTATTATTATTACTATTATTATTATTATTATTATTTTAATGTAAAGTAGTGAGCTGGAACTCCAGTGCATTGCTGGTGGAAATGTAAAATAGTACAGTCACTGTGGAAAAAGTCTGGCTGTTTCTCAAAGAGTTAAACACCCATGCAAGATGGAGTGATGCCACTTATAATCCCAGTAAGTCTGGAAGTTGAGGCAGGACTCAGCAACTTGGTGAGACTCTGTCTCAAAAAAAAAAAAAAAAAAAAAGTGCTGGGGTAAAGCTCAGTGGCAAGGTGCCCTGGATTCAATATCTAGTACCACCAGGGAAAAAAATAAGTAAATCAGCTACATAATCCAGCAATTCCACTTCTGGGCATATACTCAAAAATAACTGAAAATATGGATTCACTTGTGCACCAACCTTCACAGAAGCATTTATAATAAGTGAAAAGGTGCAAACAATCCAAATGTCTATTCCTAAGAGAACAGATAAACAAAATATGTTTGTATGTATACACACATACACACTCTGCAGTATTATTCAGCTCCTGAAAGAATGAAATTTGGATATATGCTACGACTTAGATGAAACTTGAAAACACTACTCAAACAGGCAAGAAACAAAAGACAAATACTGTATTATTCCACTTATCTAAGAGAGCTGGAATAAGCAAACTTATGAGACAGAAAATAGAACAGAAATAAAAGTAGGCATAATTGTAATTTTATTACCAAAAAAACTCTTCTTAAAGGAGTGGGAAGACTCAATGTGACTTACATAAGCAAACAAATTTTCTCTTAAAATACATAAAACATAAATGCAAGTCTCAAAAATTAATTTCAAATATGAATTCACAACCAAAAATACCATGAAACAGGAGGAAACAACTTATCATGACCTAATATGAAACTTCTTTACGTATATACTCTGTTAAAAATATAAATAAATAATAGTAGACAATGAGAACAAGATTTCTTCTTGTTGGAGAAAGAAGTCACAAATAAGCAAGAATGGAAAGCTAAACTATCTCTGTAGTGCTGAATTAGAGTCAGAGATGTCAATATGAACTCATGTTTATTTAGTATATACATACAGATGGTCAGATGTAAATATAGATGTGTTATAACATTAGTATAAATGGCTAGGACTTTGTCCTATAAGAGGATCCAGAAGCAGCAATACCCCAGTAGCAACAAGCATGCCCACAATCCAATCTTGGATTTTATATACCATTTTCTCCAATAAAGGAATCAGAGATCTTAATGGGGAAAATACCTGATTTTAAGGGAGAGGCAGAAAAAATACAAGTTGAAACTGGTATATCTTACAGTGCCAGAATATAAGAAAGTGCTTTAAAAAGAAAAAAAAAAGGAAGGAGGTGGGGGGCTGCAACGCAACATCAGATGAGTTGAGGAACCAACCTGAAAGAACTCCCCAAAAGTCTAGCAAAATTGGCACAATTTTAGTAAAAAATGAGAACAGCATTGGATTATAATCCCACAATTAAAATAAATAGAGAATTTTTCATAGGAAAATTTCAAATAGCAGTCATACATTCCTTCCTATAAGAGAGAACTTAATTCTCCTTCCCATGAGTATGGACTGGACTTGGTAACTTGTTTAAAAAAAAAAAAAAAAGACAACCAAAAGGGGAAAAAAATTGAAAGCGGAGAAACCTGATAAATAGTACATTAGCCAAAATAAATGATCAATGTCAACATCAACACTGATATGTCTTATTCCTAACTTATATCCTTTAATACAATATGATGAAGATGATACTTCAGCTCTCTTGGTTTTCATCTCCAAAATTCATAATGCCAGGTTAATCACCAAAGAAATCAGACAAATCAAACTGAAGTACCATCTATACAGTAGCAGCTGCCTGTAATCCCAGCAATTTGGGGGGCTGAGACAGGAGGACTTACTGCAAGTTCAAGGCCAGCCTCTACACCTTCAAGAGGCCCTAAGCAACTTAGCAAGACTATCTCAATTTTTTTTAATTTTTTTTTTTAGTCATACATGACAGCAGAATGTATTTTGACTTATAATACATACATGGAATGTACATACATCAATCATATTGTCTATTCTATTCTGCTGCCCTTCCTATCCTCCCTACTCCTCCTCTCCTCTCCCATCTTTTCTCTCTATCCAATCTAATGTGACACACTTTTTTTTTCTTTTTATCATTACAACATCATATATGTATTCTGTATAACAATGAGGTTCTCCTTCCATCTTCCATGCAACTCCCCTTCTCCCTCTTTTTCCCTCCCACCTCTCTTCCCTATTTAGTGGTAGTCTTCTTCTCATGCTCTTCCTCCCTGTCCCATTTTGAGTCACACCCCTTATATCAGAGAAGACATTAAAAAACAAATTGGGATTGGCTAACTTCACTTAGCATAATCTGTTCTAATGCCATCCATTTGCCTGTAAATGCCATGATCTTGTTATTTTTTAGTGCTGAGTAATATCCCATTGTGTATAAATGCCACATTTTTTAATCCATTCATCTATTGAAGGGCATCTAGGTTGGTTGCACATTCTAGCTATTGTGAATTGTGCTGCTATAAATATTGATGTGGCTGTGTCCCTGTAGTATGCACTTTTTAGGTCTTTTGGGTATAGTCCGAGAAGGGGAATAGCTGGGTCAAATGGTGGTTCCATTCCCAGCTTTCCAAGGAATCTCCATACTGCTTTCCAAATTGGCTGCACCAATTTGCAGTCCCACCAGCAATGTATGAGTGTACCTTCCCCACCCGCCCCCCCTCAAATCCTCGCCAGCACTTGTTGTTGTTTGACTTCATAATGGCTGCCATTCTTATTGGAGTGAGATGGTATCTTAGAGTAGTTTTAATTTGCATTTCTCTGATTGCTAGAGATGGTGAGGATTTTTTCATGTATTTGTTGATTGATTGTATATCCTCTTCTGAGAAGTTTCTGTTCAAGTCCTTGGCCCATTTGTTGATTGGGTTATTTGCTT